TTTTTTTTTGAGACAGAGTCTGGCTCTGTTGCCCAGGCTGGAGTGCAGTAGCATGATCTTGGCTCACTACAACCTCTGCCTCCCAGGTTCAAGCAATTCTCCTGCCTCCGTCTCCCAAGTAACTGGGATTACAGGCACGCGACACCATGCCTAGCTAATTTTTTGTATTTTTAGTAGAGATGAGGTTTCATCATGTTAGCCAGACTGGTCTGCAACTCCTGACCTCAGGTGATCTGCCAGCCTCAGCCTCCCAAAGTGCTGAGATTATAGGCGTTAGCCACCGCACCCGACTTACACAACTAATTTTTAAATTTTCTATAGAGACAGGGGTCTCACGATGTTGCTCAGGCTGGGCTCAAACAATCCTCCCACCTTGGCCTCCCAAAGTGCTGGGATTACAGGGGTGAGCCAGCACACCTGGCCAGCATCAGTCTCCTGAATGAATGAGTGGATGATGCTTTCTAAGGTCCTACAAAGTGCCAGAGCCTATGCTGTGTGCTTGGGACTCAGCATTGACCAAGACAGATGAGCTCCTTCTAGGCCTCTGTGGAACAGCCCAGAACACTCCTCCCGGTGCCTTCCTGCTCCCTAATCCCTATTTTTTATTTTATTTTTTCAGGCGGCGTTTCGCTCTTGTTGCCCAGGCTGGAGTGCAATGGTGCAATCTTAGCTCACTGCAACCTCTGCCTGCCAGTTGAAGCAATTCTGCCTTGGCCTCCCAAGTAGCTAGGATTGCAGGCGTGCACCACCACGCTGGCTAATTTTTGTATTTTTAGTAGAGACAGGGTTTCACCATGTTGGTCACGCTGGTCTCGAACTCCTGACTTCAGGCGATCCGCCCGCCTTGGCCCCCGCAAAGTTCAGGGATTACGGGCGTGACCCACTGAGCCCGGCCATCCCTACTTTTTCATGTGGCCAAACTACTACTTATCCTGTGAGTCTCCACACAATCACCTTCACCCAGTAAGCCCTTCTAGACTCCCCGGGTGGGTCCAGGTGCCTTTTCTGAGCTCGCAACAGTGCTTAGGGTGTCCCCTTCCCGGATGCCTCCCTGTCCCAGCCTTGGCCTCTCTATCCATGCCTCCCTGTCTCACCTTTGATCATTCTAGGTCATTACTGCCTGGTGGGGCCTTGACAAGATCTCTTAGATGTCCAGAAGTGACTATGGACCCCATGAGAGCAGAACTGAGGGCTGTCTTGGTTTCCACTATGTTCCCCATGCCACCCAGCACAGGGCCAGGCACACTGCAGGAACCTGTGGGTAATTATTGAATAAAAGCATAACTGAGAGGGAGATGAGGGAGAGAGATGTGGGCATCATGGACCCTGCCAGGAACAGGACAGAGACAGTCATCTCCTGGACAGATCACATGAGTTAGGCCCTCCCTGGCCTCTGGGCCTTTGCACAGGCTGTTCCCTTTGCCTGGAATCCATTTTTTTTTTTTTTTTTTTTTTGAGATGGGCTCTCACTCTGCTGCGTAGGCTGGACTGCAGTAATGCGATTACGGCTCACTGCAGCCTTGACCTCCCAGGCTCCAGTGATTCTCTACCTCAGTATCCCAAGCAGCCGGGACTACAGGTGCGCACCAGCAGGCATGGTTAATTTTTGTTTTGTTTTTTTTTTTTTTTTTTTTTTGAGACGGAGTTTCGCTCTTGTTACCCAGTCTGGAGTGCAATGGCGCGATCTCGGCTCACCGCAACCTCCGCCTCCTGGGTTCAAGCAATTCGCCTGCCTCAGCCTCCTGAGTAGCTGGGATTACAGGCACGCACCACCATGCCCAGCTAATGTTTTGTAGTTTTAGTAGAGACGGGGTTTCACCAGGTTGACCAGGATGGTCTCGATCTCTTGACCTCGTGATCCACCCGCCTCGGCCTCCCAAAGTGCTGGGATGACAAGCATGAGCCACCGCGCCCGGCAATTTTTGTATTTTTGTAGAGACCGGGTTTTGCCACGTTGCCCAGGCTGCTCTCAAACTTCTGATCTCCAGCGATCCATCCTCCTTGGCCTTCCAAAGTGCTGGGATTACAGGTGTGAACCACCATGCCCAGCCCCAGAATACTCTCACAACCCTCCTTTTCCTGACCGTTCTACTCATTCCTACAACATCAGCTCAGGAGCCCCTCCTCCAGGAAGCCCTCCCTGATTGCAGGCTGGGTCAGGCACCTCCTTTGGGCTCTCCATCCCAGCCCCACCCACTCTGGGTCATCATTGCCTTACAAGTCTATTCCCCACCTACCCACCAAATGGACCATGAGCTCTGTGAGGGCAACGATGGGGCTGTTTTAGTCATTGCTGTGTCCTTGGCATTGCCCATCACAGGGCAGGGCAGAGAGATGCTCAGGAAATGGAGTAGCCAGTCACTCAGGTTTCCACGCCACAGAGGGGAGCCAGGTCTCAGCCCCTTCACACCAGGACGGGACAGGGGTCCTAGGCAAAGTGACCCCATTGAGAAACAGGTGGGACACACGAGCGAGCCTCACCTCCATGGGTCAGCCACTGCCGCACAACTCCAGTGACATCAAAAGACAACCACTCCGTCGAGTCGCTGGGAGCCAGTAGCCGGTTGCTGAGGTATCGCCAGGAATTGTTGCTGTATTTCTAGAGGGTGATGAAGGTGGGAGAGAGACAGTGGTAGATGCTGCCACGCCCCCACATATACTAACTGAACCCTTCATCCCATCTGCTCCCCCAGACTGGCTCCCAGACAGTTCCCAGGCACCACCTACCCTCTCAGACATCCACACTGTGCGACCCTGCAGCACCCATCCTCCCCCACAGCACCCGTGAGAGTTGAGATGGAGGGCCAGGCGCGGTGGCTCACACCTGTAATCCCAGCATTTTGGGAGGTCGAGGCGAGCTGATTATGAGGTCAGGAGTTCGAGACCAGCCTGGCCAACATGGTGAAAACCCGTCTCTACTAAAAATACAAAAACTAGTTGGGTATGGTGGTGCACGTCCTCACTATTTGGGAAGCTGAGGCAGGAGAATTGCTTGAGCCTGGAAGACAGAGGTTGCAGTGAGCCAAGATCACACCACTGCATTCCAGCATGGGTAACAGAGCGACACTTCCTCTCAAAATAATAATAAATAAAATAAAATTCTGCGGTTTGCTGAGCATACGGCTCTGCAAATTTGACACCCTGAATTTTTTATTATTTTTTTTAAAGATAGGGTTTCACCATGATGGCCAGGCTGGTCTTGAACTCCTGACTTCAGGTGATCCACCCACCTCAGCCTCCCAAAGTGCTAGGATTACAGGCATGAGCCACCATGCCCAGTGACACCCTGAATTCTAAGTCAGTAGTTTAGAAGTCATTTTGTAATTCAAATGTTTGATAATATCCCAAGATTTCCACGTTGAATGAGCCTGAGAAGCTTTAGAAGACTAATGTTCTATAAACCCAAGAGTCAGCCAGGCATGGTGGCTCATGCCTGTAATCCCAGTACTTGGGGAGGCCGAGGCAGGTGGATCATGAGGTCAGGAGATCGAGACCAGCCTGGCCAACATGGTGAAACCCCATCTCTACTAAAATACAAAAAATTAGCTGGGCGTGCTATGCACGCCTCTAGTCCCAGCTGCTCGGGAAGCTGAGGCAGGGGAATCACTTGAACACAGGAGGCAGAGGTTGCAGTGAGCCAAGATCGTGCCACTGCGCTCCAGTCTGGTGACAGAGCAAGACGTTATCACACACACACACACACACACACACACACACACACACACACAGTCGCTACTAAAAATACAAAAATTAGCTTAGGGTGGTGGTATATTCCTGTAATCACAGCTACTCAAGTGGCTGAGACAGGAGAATCACTTGAACCTGGGAGGCGGAGGTTGCAGTGACCCAAGATCGTGCCACTGCACTACAACCTGCCTAACAGACCAAGGCTCTGTCTCAAAAGAGAAAGAAATGAAGAAATAAAGAGAGTCCTAGGATTGCACGGTTTGTATTTCCTCTATCCTTCAGGGACTATCTAGGCAGACCTTGTAGTCAGCAGCCCCACAGCTGCCCTGCTGGTCACAGCTCACGCTCTCCAGCAGGAGACCTTCCCTCGAGCTCACATCCTCACCTGGTACAGCTCCACGTGCTGCTCCGCTTTTAACTTGAGCCTCAGCAGACGCAGCTCTGCCCGGGAGAGCAACACGGGTTCAGGTACTGCTTCTCGGAGCTCTGATGTGTTGAAGAACATATATATGCTGTGTGTGCTGTGCTTGAACTTGTCATAGATTTCTAGCAGGGAGAAATGCAGAGAGGCGATCAGGGGTTTGGCAGAGGTGAGGGGAGCTGGTGGTCCCAAGTCTAGGAGTTTTGGAGCTGACAGCTCTGGGGTGGTCAGTCTCATAGGGTTTGCCTCCTTTGGGAATCTAATGCCACTGAGGATCTAACCAGAGGTAGAGCTCAGGCGGTAATGCTCACTTGCCCACCGCCCACCTCTTGCTGTGTGGCCCAATTCCTAACAGGACACAGGCTGGCACTGGTCCTCAGCCTGGGGGTTGGGGACCCTTGCCTTAGAGGGCAAGGGCAGATGCAGGGGACCAGTAGAAGAGGCTACTGTAATGGTCTAGGTAAGAGATGAAGGGGGATGGGCAGAGGAAATGGTGAGAAGTGCTCAAATTCTGGATCTGTATACTTTGTCTTAAAAAAGCTGAGCTTTTGTTGCTCAGGCTGGAGTGCAATGGTACGACCTGGGCTCACTGCAACCTCTGCCTCCCAGGTTCAAGAGATTCTCCTGCCTCAGCCTCCTGAGTAGCAGGAATTACAGGCACCTGCCACCACGCCCAGCTAATTTTTGTATTTGTAGTACAGACGGGGTTTCACCATGTTGGCCAGGCTGTTCTTGAACTCCTGACCTCAAGTGATCTGCCTGCCTCAGCCTCCCAAAGTGCTGGGATTACAGGTGTGAGCCACGACGCCCAAATGACTCTGATACTTTTTAGCTGTGTGACCTTGGGGAAGCAATTTCTCCCCCAGGTTTGTTTCCTACTCTGTAAAATGGGTCCTAACCACACTCCTCTCTCAAGTAGCATCATCTGTCTCAACTAAGGCTGATACCAAGGTGAACCACTCTGTTTGCTCAGGCCTTCCTGGGACTGAGAGCCCCAAACTGCAAGCACCCCTAAAATGCAGAGTAAGGATCAAGGGCACTGGCTTTGGAGTCAGATAGCACCTCGGCCGCCTCTCAGCTGTGTGACCTTGGGCAGTTCACACCCTCTTTCTGAATGTCAGTTCCCTGTTATTCTTTGGAAAACAGCAATAACATTAAGCTCCCTGCATTCCCACCCAGTCTCTCCTAATTGAAGCGCTGTGTAACCTTGGGCAAGTGAATTCCTCTCTCTGAACCAGGTGCTCATCTGTAAGACAGGACAGAGTGACTCTAGAACCCATTCCTGGATTATAGGGGGAAATTAGATGACCCAGGTGAAGCCATGTGGCACCAGGTCTGCATACAGTGCATACACTCAATCACTGGTCACTCAATCACGTGTTTGTTTAAGAGCACTGGCCAGGTGCGGGGGCTTGCAACTGTAATCCCAGCACTTTGGGAGGCTGAGGCAGGTGGATTACTTGAAGTTGGCCAAGCTGAGTTCAAGACCAGCCTGACCAACATGGTGAAACCCTGTTGCTACTAAAAATACAAAAATTGGCCAGGCATGGTGGTGGGCGCCTGTAATCCCAGCTACTCGGGTGGCTGAGGCACGAGAATCACTTGAACCTGGGAGACGGAGGTTACAGTGACCCGAGATTATGCCACTGCACTCCAACCTCGGGGACAGAGTGAGACTCCATCTCAATTAAAAAAAAAAAAAAAAATAGCGAGGCTGAGTACCTATAATCCCAGCTACTCAGGAGGCTGAGGCCGGAGAATCACTTGAACCCGAGAGGCAGAGGTTATAGTATGGCCAAGAGTAAGACTCTGTCTCAAAAAAAAAAAAAAAAAAAGCCGGGCCTGGTGGCTCATGCCTGTAATCCCAGCAGTTTGGGAGGCTGAGGCAGGTGGATTACCTGAGGTCGGGAGTTTGAGACCAGCCTGACCAACATGGAGAAACCTCATCTTTAAAAAATACATAAATAAATAAAAACAAAAAGCAGTATTTGCCAGATGCTATTTAAAGCACTTTACAAAGATGAAGATATTTAAACCTCACAATCTTATACTATTATTATGCTCATTTAATAGATGGAGAAACTGAGGCACAGAGATTAAGTAATTTGCCCCAAGGCCACATAGCTAGGAAGCTGCAGACTAGGATTCGAACTCAAGCTTTCTGGTTCCAGAGGCTGTGCCCTTCCCCCCCCCCCCCCCCGGAGACAGGGTCTCAGTCTGTCCCCCAGGCTGAAGTACAGTAGCACAACCATGGCTCACTGCAGGCTGGAATTCCTCCCGCCTCAGCCTCTCAATATGTTGAGAGGCTAGAAACTGGGCTCTTAACCCCTATGTGATTCTTCTACTTCTTTTTATTATGAGTTTTCCTTAACCCCCTTCCCCAGCTGGTTAGGGAAAGTGAAGTTCATTCTGGGTAGAAATGGCTGCAGTGGGGAGAAAAGGAATTAGGGAATTAGGGTGTTTTCTTCTTCTTCTTCTTTTTTTTTTTTTTGAGACGGAGTATCACTCTGTGGCCCAGGCTGGAGTGCAGTGGTGTGATCTCAGCTCACTGCAACCTCCACCTCCCGATTCAAGCTATTCTCCTGCCTCAGTCTCCTAAGTAGCTGGGATTACAGGCGCCTGCCACTCTGCCCAGCTAATTTTTGTATTTTTAGTAGAGATGGGTTTCACCAAGTTGGTCAGGCTGGTCTCAAACTCCTGACCTCAGGTGATGCACTTGCCTTGGCCTCCCAAAGTGCTGGGATTACAGGCGTGAGCCGCTGTACCCAGCCAAGGCGTTTTCTAGTTTAGGAAAAGTTTGGGGTTGGGATTGAGGGAACAAGCCATGAACCCCTGGATCAACTGGGGCAACTGCTGCCAGCCTCCTATAGTGGGGCTGTGAAAATAGAAGAGCCTGGTGAGAAAGGCAGAGGAAACCCCTTCCTAGGCCCCCTTCCCTCCTCCTCCTCCTCCTCCCCAGTCTCCCTCTCCACCCAGCCCCAATAAGCCCTATTCTTGGCCCAGTGGTTACTCAGCAAACCCTAAAGGAAAGGCAGAGCCTTGGCTGGGGAAGACAGATAGGGAAGGAGAGAGAGAGGAGGGAGAGCAAGGGTTGGAGGGTGCTGCAAAGAGGGAGCGGTCGGGAGATGGCAGTGACAGAGGAGAGGGGAGAGGACCGTGGAGAAAAATAGGGAGAGAAAAGAAGACAAAAACCAGAAGACCCAGGTGTGGACAGAGAGACTAACGGAGACGAAACGGGGAGACACGTGGGGAGAAGAGACACAGAGGCATTTGTGGGGGAGAGCAAGATTGGAGGGGTCAGTGTTAAAGGAACCTCTACAACGAAGATGAAGCGAAGAGAAGGCGAGACTAAGACGTGGGTGCGGAGTGGGCGTCACTGGGCTGGAGCAGTAAATTGGCGCAGGAATTGGCTGGGGACCCCCAAGCCCCTACCGCCCAAGAGTCAGTGAAACCTGAGGGACCTTCCCCAAGGCTCTGAACCACGCGGGACGCCCGGGTCCTCGCGTGGGTGCCGACCGGGCCGTCTCAGCGGGAGCCCCGCCCGTAGCTGGGGTGAGGAGGGCAGGAGGCGCCACAGCCAGGAGGGCGGGGACCAGACCTGCCCCATCTCGCCCCGGGCCCCGCGCGCAATCCCCGCCCCCACCGGGGGCACGGGAAGGAAAGGGAAGGGAGGAGGGTGAGGCGGCCGGACGCTGGGGTTTCCCCAGCCACCCCGAGAGGAACTGACTCTGGCTCCAGACTGCCAGCGTTCAGCACAGCGGGGTCCTCTTGCCTTTCGGTGGAAGAGTAGGCTCCTCCCCCCGCGCGTGGCACCCACGTGGGGCTTTCTCACCCCTCCCAGCTTGATTTTCTCACCGTGGAATTGTAGACTCACCCCCAACCCAGCACTTCCCCAGCGGCTGGGCTCTACTCAGCCCATTCCCCTCCATCCTGCGGCGAGTTGGGGGCTCGCTGTTCGCAGCGTAGATGGCTCTGGGTATTCTCTCCGCCCCGCTCACACCACTTTTCCCACGCTTGTCTCCCCTCTCGGTAAAGCCCTTCCCATGACCCAGAATTCTAGGTCTCCTGAGAGCTCGATTCCTCCGCTGGGCTCCCCTCTTTGTCCCTCAAGTCCCAGTGGGAAACACCGAGGACACCTCCGCATCCCGGGCGCCCTCCCGGCTCTCCGCTCCTCTCCCGCTAGCCTCCTCCTCCCAATAACCTCGTCTTCCTTTCTCCCCACATTTATCACACCAACCTCTGTTTCTTTTTCTACGACTCTTCCCCCCGCCCCGCATCCCGCGTGTTCTTCGCAGCCTCTGGAAGGGCGTCCGCTGCCACTTTCCTGGCACCCCCTGGGGTGGCCTTCATCTAGCTTTTCTGTCCTTCTTGAATCTTTCCACCTCAGGACCCCTGCGCTCCGGGTCGACTTTCTCCAGTGCCTCTCTTTTCCTAAATACTGGCGTTTTCGCTTCACCCATACCAGGCTCCCCTGTCTCTGCAGCTCCCACTCCACGATCCCCTCATTCTACACGTCCTGGAAGAGGGAGGCTTCTACCCTCTCCCTATTATTTCTCTCCCTCTAGGGGACTCCCCCCCGCGACCCCGCATGTTCCTGTCGCCCTCCAGAAGCGGTCCACTTCGCTATCTCCTCCTCTCCAAGACCAGGCACCTGACGGATAGGGGGCTCAGTGCCATCCTCTTTCGACACCCCCTCCCACCATCCCATGTTCCCTGAGCCCCGGGGGTCCTGTTCCTCCAGCCAGTTTCCTCTGCCAGTCACTTCCTCCCCGTGGCCCCGGCACTCCGGCGCCCCCTGGGGGCCCCCCTCCCGACTCCCCTGCCCCTCCGAGCTCACCGTGGTGGGTTTCCACCATGAGCACGCGGGTGACCTCCTTGGCGTAGTAGTCGGCCTCCGGCTCGGGCTCCGGCTCGGCGCTCTCGCCGGCCACCCGGTCGCGGGTGCTGTTGTACAGGGCGAGCACGGCCTCGGGCAGCGGGCCCGGCGGCACCTCCGCCTGGTTCGGGGGGCTGGCGAGCCGCAGCTTGGACAGGATCTGGCCGCGGATGGCCTCGATGCGCTTCCGCTTCACCAGCTCCATGTCGATGGTCTTGCAGGTGGATAGTCCCGCGGCCGGCCGGCCGAGCGTCAGCACCAGTAGCCACAGCAGCGGCAGCAGCAGCGGCAGCAGCCGCAGCCCGGAGGGTGGCATGGGGGAGGCGGCGCCCCCCGGCACTGTCGAGAGTGCGAACAGGGCTAACGCGGTGGGGCCCCCGCAGGGGCTGGGGGTCTCCTGGGAAAAGGCAGGAGGGCCTCAAGGGAAAGTTGAGGTCCTCAGGACGCAGTTGTGGAGGGGAGGCTCTGACCGGGGTGTCTCAGTATCCTACGGAAATAACCTAGATGAGCAAGAACTGGTACCAGAAGGTGGGTGGTCTTGAATAGGGGATCTGTGGCAGGTCGGAGAGAGATCCGTCTCCTGGAGGAGAAAGGGTCTAGGATGCGCGGGGACTCGGGAGACAGGCCGGAGATGAACGCGGTGTGCAGCGGGGTGCGCCCGAGGTCTGGGGAAAAGTCTTTGCGGGAGGCCGGGTCGGCGACTCCCGAGGGCTGGTCCGGAATGGGGGCGCCTGAGGGACGCCGTGTAGGGGGCAGGGAGGGAGCAAGCGTCCCCGGCGGTGAGGGGAGGCGGTCTGGGGTCCCCAAGTCCTGCCTCCTCGCGGGGTAGCGTCGCGCCAAGAGGTCCCCGCGCCTCCGGCTCCCAGCGGCAACGGAAAAGTCTCAAAAGTTTTTTTCCTCTTCTCCCGACCAGCTCGTCCCTCCTCCCGCTCCTCCTCCCCCTCCTCCCCGCAGTGGCGGGGGCGGCTGTGGCGGCGGCTGGTCTCAGACTCTGGGGCCTCGGGCTGCTCCTCGGCGACTCCTTCCTCCGCTCCGGGCCGAGGCTGGCCCAGCGGGCAGCTCAGAGCCGGGGGGTGCCCCGGACGGGGCGTCCCCCCTGCCCCCGGCCGGGGCCCTCGCTGTCTGGCTGATCCGCGGAGGGAGGCGGGAGGGAGATGGCCCAGGACGCGAAGGGCGGCGGCGGCGGGGACCCGCTGGGTCGGCGGGGGGTTTTGAAGCCGCGTGGCCCCACCCAGGAAGCTCACGGGGCGGGAGCGGGGGCGGCTCCCAGGGGGAGGGCATGGGGGGGCTGGGCCACCGTCCTCATCTCGCGTGGGCGGGCTCCGAGGGGGGTCCCTTCAGCCCTGGGGGGGAAAGGGGGCGGGCACCCCGGCTCCGCCCCACAAACAGGGTGCTGCCTCCTGGCGGCCAAGCGCCACCAAAGCGGGTGATCCAGATGCGCTGTGGCTTTGCGGGGCGGTGTGGGTCACCAGGGAAAGAGGACCAAGCGCAGAAGGCTTAATCCAGGGGATGAGACACAGGGGAGCCGACCAGGGGAGGGCGACCCAGAATGGGAAGAGTGTGAGGCTGGGGCACAGGCTGGGGAAGAGGGTCTGTCAAGGTGGGGGCCTGGGGAGGGTGTCAGTGGGAGGAGGAACAACAGGACACCAGAGAAATGGAGGAGTCAGGAGGCAGACATCTGTAAGAATTGTTCTCCTTTACTGAGCACCTCCCTTGTGCCAAGCAGCCTCTTGACCCAAGACCCTGCGACCCTACACATTTACTGTCCCCAATTTACAGATACAGAAAAGGCCCAGAGTGAGCCAAAAGTCCTCACCAGGACAGAAGCAGTGCCATGCCTTAGCTGGGTCAGCTCTGACAGTCTCCAGAGTCCGTGCTCTTGACCCCTGTGCCATCCTGCCCCTCACAGGGGGTATCCAGGGGTGCAGGTGGTGGTGGCGGCTTTGGAGGCAGGGTCCCTCAGCACTCAACGCCGTAGCGGTCGAAGTGGCGCAGCAGCAGGCTGATCTCCAGGTGCACAGTGCCACCAGCAGCTGTGTGCAGGCGATAGCGGTCGGCACCACTGTATATGGTGTCCCCATGCAGCAGCTGCGGCCCCCCGCCCACAAAAGCCCGTGCCAGCTGCTCCTGCCAACTGCCCAGGGGCCGCCATGTGGGGCAGGCCAGCTGGTGGGTGCCTGGGCTGCTGGGCACATGACAAAATCCATAGCCTGCAAGCTGGCAGCGGCCAAAGCTGTCCTGGGACCACACCTGGAAATGGAGCCGGGGCCAGCCTGTAGGAAAGGAGGGAGAGGGGACAGAAGGGATGGGTGTGGACCAGCCTCCTGCTCCTGATTCCCTCCTCCTCGATGCCCACTGGGCACCCCAGGGCCAGTCCCTTCCTCTCTGGGTTTCTCTCCTAGGGTTTCCAACCCAGCCTCCTTTCTAGGCTCCCACCCTCTCATCTACCCTCACACAAGGGCCAAACAGATCTATCTTCCCGGCCCAAACAGATCCTTCCAAATCGATGTTACCCTCCCCCTCCACCCCCCAAGATCCTTCCATAGCTCCCCAGTGCCCTTGGTATAAAGACCAACCTTCTCATCATTCAAGGCCCTTCTCATCAGGCCTCTGTTGACTTTCCTCTCTGTGGTCGCCTCCTCCATGACCCCATGTTAGGGCAGCCCATTGCTCCTCCAGTCCCCAGGTCACATCAGGGACGCCTCCTGCCTTCCCTCCCCAAGTCCCTGCCCTGTTCTCTTTGGGCCCAGGGCCTTGCCTTCTTTCTTGCCTTTCTCTCTCTCTCTCTCTCTCTTTTTTTATTTTTTAAGTAGAGACGGGGTTTCTCCATGTTGGTCAGGCTGGTTTAAAACACCCGACCTAAGGTGATCCGCCCACCTTGGCCTCCCAAAGTGCTGGGATTACAGGCGTGAGCCACCGTGCCCAGCCTTTCTTGCCCTTCTCTAATCCACCTTCCACCTGGCATCTGAAAGCATCTTTCTTTTCTTCCTTTTTTTTTTTTTTTTGAGACGGAGTCTCGCTCTGTCGCCAGAGTGGAGTGCAATGGTGTGATCTTGGCTCACTGCAACCTCCACCTCCCAGGTTCAAGCGATCCTCCTGTCTCAGCCTCCCAAGTAGCTGGGACTACAGGTGTGCACCACCACACCCAGCTAATTTTTTTTTTAGTAGAGACAGGGTTTCACCATGTTGGCCAGGATGGTCTCAATCTCTTGACCACATGGTCCGCCCGCCTTGGCCTCCCAAAGTGCTGGGATTACAGGCATGAGCTACCATGCCTGGCCTCTGGAAGCATCTTTCTCTCCTTCCATAGCTCTGCCCATGTCCTCAGAACACAGTTCAGCTCCTCAGTCTGGTAGTCAAAGCTCTTGAAGATCCAGCCCCCATCTCATGATATGCTGAGCCCCTTCCCCTGTGCTAGGCCCTGTTCTAGCTAGTGGGGGACACAGTGGACATGAACCTGGACGGCAGACAAAAATTCCTGCCCCTGTGAAGCTGATATCCTAGACAACCAATGTAGTAAATAAGCAAATTATAGGGGTAAATCAGATGGTGGTAATTGCTGTACAGAAAAACAGGGTTGGTTAGGGCGGGGGTGGGGTACTGCTTTAGCAAGGAGGGGATCAAGGAAGCTTCACTAAGAAGGTGACATTTGAGCAAACGCTAAAAGGAAGGAAGGGATGCAGGCTGGGAGTAGTGGCTCACGCATGTAATCCCAGCACTTTGGGAGACCGAGGCGGGTAGATCATGAGGTCAGGAGTTCAAGACCAGCCTGACCAACATGATGAAACCCCGACTCTACTAAAAATACAAAAATCAGCCAGACGTGGCAGTGCGCGCCTGTAGTCCCAGCTACTCAGGAGGCTGAGGCCGGGGAATCGCTTGAACCCGGGAGGCTGAGGTTGCAGTGAGCCGAGATCGCGCACCGCTGCACTCCAGCCTGGGCAAGACTCCATCTGAAAAAAAAAACCAAGGAAGGAAGGGAGTGGGCCATGTGGATATCTAGAGGAAGAGTGCTCCCAGCCGGAGGCAACAGCTAGTGCCAAGGTCCTGAAGGGGGAGTGTCTGGTGGGGACGGCATGGCCAGAGCAGAATGAGGTGGGGAGGAGGGATGGAGGTGCCAGCCAGGTTGTGCAGAGCCTTGGGGTGCATGGTAAGACTTGGGCTTTTTTTTTTTCTTCTTTTTAAATTTTATTTATTTATTCATGTATTTTTTACTGAGACTGGGTTTCACCATGTTACACAGGCTGGTCTTGACCTCCTGACCTCTGGTGATCCACCCGCCTCAGCCTCCCAAAATGCTGGAACTAAAGGCATGAGCCACCACACCCGGCCGACTTTGGCTTTTACCCTGAGTGAAAGGGGGACTAGTGGAGGGTCCGAGCAGACAGGACCTGACTAAGGTGTCCACAGGGTCCCAGCTGCATGTGGAGTACAGACGAGGGGGTTGGGGAGGGGGGCCCCAGAGGCAAGGTTGCTGTCATAGCCCAGGTGAGAGATGAACTTGGACAGATCAAGGTGCAGGGCAAGAAAAGAGGTGAGAAGTGGGATGTAGGATGTATTTCAAAAGTAGAGGCAGTAAGATTTCCTGATGGAGGCTTGAGCAAAGAGAAAGCAAGGCTGGTGCCACTACTGGGGGAGTGGGGCCCCCAAGAGCCGAAAGGTTAGAGCTTCCCACCTCACCCACACAGCACCCAGAAAGATTTTTGTTCCCCTAGCTCCAGCTTAAAGGACAGAAAGATCATTTAAAAGTGAAATCTCGGGCCAGGCACAGTGGCTGACACCTGTAATCCCAGCACTTTGGGAGGCCGAGGTGGGTGGATCATGAGGTCAAGAGTTCGAGAGCAGCCTGGCCAACGTAGTGAAACCTCAACTCTATAAATAAATAAATAGATAAAAATTTTTTTAAAAAAGGTGAAATCTCGGCCAGGCCCAGTGGCTCACGCCTATAATCCCAGCACTTTGAATGGCTGAGGCAGGTGGATCACCTGAGGTTGGGAGTTTGAGACCAGCCTGACCAACATGGAGAAACCCCGACTCTTCTAAAAATACAAAATTAGCTGGGAGCAGTGGCACATGCCTGTGATCCCAGCTACTGGGGAGGCTAAGGCAGGAGAATCGCTTGAACCCGAGAGGTGGAGGCTGCAGTGAGCCGAGAGCACACCATTGCACTCCAGCCTGGGCAACAAGAGTGAAACTCTGTCTCCAAAAAAAACCAGAAAGGTTTTCTGATGCAGCTCCTCCCCCAGTACTCATTTCCCCTTTGAGCAGCGCTCTATTTTCAAGCTGAGGATTCCTTCCTAGAGAACCAGCCCTTGCCGCTCTCAGACCCCGCCTCCCGGCCGCCTCTGTTTTGGAGACTCTTGGTTCGTCTCTTTACTTGAATGCCACCTCCCCTCCCACCCTGACCCCCACCTTCCCATCTACTCCTCCAACCTGGCCTCAGCCCTAATCCTACAAACTTGGGATCTACTATTGAGCAGGCCTGGGAAAGCCTTAGCTCAGCCTCTCTAGGGCCAGACTTGGCTGCCAAAGACACCCACATGGTATGCGGAGCAGGGACAGGTCTTGGTGTTCCCAGCCCCAGGGGCTTCAGATGCTACTGGCCTCCTCCCCTCAGCCTGGCCCCGGGCCCAGGGGTAGTACCCACCTTGAAGACCTTTGGTGGCAAAGTGCAGATCGATGGGGTGGGACCAGTAGGCCATTTCCCCTATCTGGGGGGTGTCCACCTGCGTCTGGCCCTCCCGCACACCTGATAGGAGCTTCCACGCAGCCCCTGCAATGAGAGCCAGGACATAGAGGGGTGGGAGGCAGCCACTGGGAAGGGGATTCTGCTGTGGCTACAGGACTGTGTTTCTCTGTGGCATCTGCTCGTAGGGGTTACGAAGCGTGGACTCTGGAGCCAAATATCTGGGTTCAAATCCTGGCATTACTTCTTCCTGCCTGTGCAACCTTAAGCAAGTTACCTTTCTCTGCCTTAGTCTTCCCATCTGTAAAATGGGTGAGTAATAATGCATTCCTCATTGTCTTCATTTGTTTTCTTTTTTTTTTTTTTTTT